AGCCATGAGCCCCATTCCCTGAGCCCCTCCCACAGGGAGCCCCCCATTTCCCTGCTTGAGACCCCAAACCCCTCACTGGCCAGTCCATGAGCCCCATCCCCTGAGCCCCTCCCACAGGGAGCCCCCCATTTCCCTGCTTGAGACCCCAAACCCCTCACTGGCCAGTCCAAGCCCTGCCCTCCGTCTTGCATTACCCTTGCTGTGCAGGTTAGGAAGCCCGGGGGGACTCTCGATTCCGCCTGCTTGGTCCCAGACTCCGGCTCGGTGCAATGAGTGAGGGGGAGACAAGAACCCAGGACTGAGGCTGGAGGCTGCAATGCAGGGCAGGGAGGGGCTCTACTCTCACCCCCCCCCCCCCCCCCGCGGCGGGAGGAGAAGACAACCCCCCACACCAACAAGATCAGAGCTAGCTGGGGGGGGGTTAAATCTAACTATTTTGCCCCCTTCCCCCCCCAAGTGCAAAAACTGGGCTGGGGAGGAGAGTGAAATCCCCCTCCCATCCCCAAGTGGTGCCCAGATTGGTCTGGGGGCAGAGGGTGAGGCGTTAAGCCGACCCTGTGCCAAGGGACAGGCTGTGCGAATGGCCTGGCTCTCTAGGAGCAGCACAGCAAACGTTTCCCTCGTCGGCGCAGCCAGCCATGAAATGAAGGTCCTGGCAACAACACCAAGAACCTGGAGCGGGGAGCATTGACCTGGGGGCGCTGGGGGCGGGTGGGACAGCGGAGGGAGTACTGCGGCTCCCCCACCATCGGAGTTTGGCCTGCAAGGCCACGAGGCCTTGTTTGGGACCCTCAGTAGGAAGCAGAGCCCAGAGAAGTTTGGAGGAGCTGGAGACCTGCCAGATCACTGACCTAAAGGGAGACCCTCGTACTGTGCTCGTTTTGGGGCCCTTTTAAAAGCCTCTTCCCCTGCCAAAGGAGGGTCTGTGATTGTGTAATTGAGTCTGACTCCATCTACTCCTCCAGCGCCCTTTCCTTCCATGGGGTGAGAGATCTGGCACTCCTAGCAGTCGCTGGGCAAATTCGCCTCCGGGGCACAGGTGGAAGAGAGGAGTGTGAGCTGGAGTGGTTGCTCCCCTCTCTGACAGACCGCTGAGAGCTCAGGGCTGCCTTCCCCTGGAGCCAGGAGACCTACAGGGCAGCCCCTGGTCCCCTTTAGTGCTTTCTCTTGTGTAGATGCTGCTGTTACTGGTACAAGTGATGTTGACCTGCACAGGTCCAAGCTCTGAATTGCTCATGTGGGTTGTGGATCTTATTTTGGCTGCAAACACAGGGCCTGGTGCTACATCTGGTGTGTTTGGCATGGTGGTGCCCAGCAGCCCAGGTGCTGCATGGGGGTGGGTTGTGAGGCTAGCAAGACGGACAGAGGCATTGCTCACCTGTATGAGGCATCTTTGTGGTTGCGACACTTTACGCTGAGCTGATCGTCTGTTTGAGGGGTGTGCTAAATACATGTGGGTGCTTATTTGATGATCCATGCGGGTCTGTGGTGCTGCACTTCCGTGTCTATGTGAGCCCTTTGAATCCTTTCTGGGTCCATGTTTAGATGGCAGCATCTGGCATAGAAATATGGTGTCAGTGTCATGGAGCGTGAGATGCGTGTTGTACCTGAGAGCTGCAGAACTGGGGAGGTGGGTGTTTTCTTCTAGCTGTCATCCTCGCCAAAGGCCACTAGAGAGCAGCAAGATCTCAGGAGAAGGAGGGGAAAAGCTGTTCAAGGGATAACCGGGTTCAAGAGAAGCTGGGAGTGCCCCGCTGAGGGCGAGCAGAGCAGTGATGGGCTGGAGAAATCCTGCCACGGAACTGGAGAGCTGGGCCGGCTGCTCTGCTTGTCTTGGGACTCGCACTCTTGGCTGCTCATCTGTCCCTGCCAGGGAGAGCTGACCCTGGGATGCAGCACAAAATATTGCAGCTCAATCCCGGGCCAGATGGCTGGAAAAAATGTCCCCAGTAGCTGCTGTGGAAGTGACTCGATAGGGTGAAAGCGACAGGGCTGCGCGAGGCGCTTACGACACTGCCAGCCTGAGCCCTGCGTTTTCTGGGCCACGCTGCCATCTCTTTGGAAGCTGAGGGCCAAGCTCGGAGGCTCAGGAATATTCGCCCCAAAGAGGGAGAAGAATCTTGTTCTTGTGTTGCCGGCTGTGCCCTGGCTGCTGACCCAGGCCACTGTCCCACCTGGAGCCTGAGCTAGCGAGGGCTTCACATTAGCAGGCAGGACTATGGGCTGGTGCCCCCAAGGGTCCCTCAGCACAGGGCATTTCACTGAGCGGGGGTGGCTCTGTCCCCCACTCCCACATGGTCACCCATTGTCCCTAGCACAGCTGGGCCCACTCAGTGCTGCTGGGCAGACCCCACCAGGCTCAGCAAAGCCACATTCAGGTGTCCCCGGGAGCGTGTCCTCAGCCCCTGATCTGTCCTAAACGAAACACCCCCCGCCCCTGGAACTCCTGCAGACCCTTGTGCCCTAGGCGGCTGGGTCTGGCTACCGGAGAGATGAATGGAGGTTATTTGGACTCCGGGATTTCCGGCCACCCCCTGGAGTGAAGCAGGGAGGGGCGTGGCTGGGAATTGGAAAGCCTGGGCAAGGAGAAGAAACTGTCAGAAAGTGGCCAAAGTTCAAGTTGAGACAGATCCCGAGGGGAGGAGATTCCTGGGCTCACTACTGAGAAGTCCCTGCCTCTGAGCTGAAACCCAGCACCTCGGCCCCGGCTGCTTAGACCCTACACCCGTCGGCTGGATGGCGCAGGAGAGGGGGAGTCCGTCCTTTAGGGGCCACGGGCGACTGGTGGCCGGCCCTTAGACTTTCGTTTGGGAGTCTCCCTGGGGGTCAGGCTGAAAGAGGGGGCCAGTCAGCCCTCCTGCCGCGTTCGACGGGAGCAAGGCTGCACTGTGGCCCGAGCCGAGTCTCTGAGGGGCTGTGGGGGCAGAGCCCATTGCAGTCGCCGGGCCTAGCGATGAAGCAGCCGTGCATAGCTGAGCGGAGGAGGCTGCAGACTGAGGCAGCTTTCCTGTTTACCCTCTGTGACGGCGCGTTGGGGTCGCCCGCCTCCTGCACCCCCGAAATGGCACGAACAGACTCCACTAGCCAGTAGAATGGAGATAGGTTATTGCTTCTCCAGGATATAGCACAGCACAGATGTAATCTGGTTACAGGAACTGAGGCTAGGAGGCCTCAGCGCCCCCCCTTGAGATGGGGGAGTCCCAGCCCCCCTCCCCAGCTTCTTCTCCCTTGCTTTCCAGACAAGAACTAACTCAATCTCCTCCAGCCCTGCCCCCCAGCCAGGGCAGCATTCACCTTCCTTAATTCCTCTCCTGGCTGGTCAGACAGGTTTGGAGCCCCCTTTGCATAATGACCAGACAGCAGAGGTCGCCACAGCCCTAGCAAGGCCCCCCCACTACGTCACACCCTCGTAGCCAGGAAGCAGTTACCACGTGGTGCAGAGGGTCCAGTCCTGTAAATTGCTAAGTGCTGCGCGACCGCAGCTGGCAGTGAGATCAGCCTCCCTCTGGCAGGGTGGGGCTGAGCATTTGCTGGCCTGCACGCTGGTTTGGACATTGGCAACCCCCTTCACAGTAGCCAGGTCCCTGTTTTCCAGCCTGCTTTAAGTGCAGCAGCACAGCGTTCCCTGCCAGCCAGGGTGGGCAGTCATGTTTGATGGGGGCCACTCCACAATTTTGGCAAGTGGTCAAGGGTTGTGCTTTGCTATGGAGGGTGCAGGGTCTGGGAGGGGATTAGGGTGCAGGAGAGCGGGGTTTTGGTGCAGGAGGGGATTGTGACCAGGAGCAGGGGATGGGGGTACAGGGTCTGGAAGAGGGGATGGGGGCAGGAGGATTCTGGCCTGGGGAAGGGGTGTCGGAGTCAGCTCAGGGTCTGGGAGGGAATTGTGACCTGGGGAAGGGTGGATGCAGAGGGTTTGGGGGGTGACCTGGGGCAGGGATTGGGGTGCCAGGTGCAGACTCTGGACAGGAGGCACTAACAGGCAGCTCCCAGCCAGCAGCCCAGCGGGACACTGAAGCAGGTTCTCTGCCTGCCACTGCCCCAGGCTGCTCAAAATGACTGGCTGGTCCCTCGATGGGCCTCTCTGTTCCATGCGCC